GGTGCCGGGCCTCCCCAAACAGCGCCGGGGGCGGTTGGGCAGGGTGGGGCGTCTGCACGCGCAGCCCTGCCTGCTGCCTGCCCAGCCCTGCCGGGGAGACCCGGGAAGCCGGCTCTGCTGCAAGCACGGCCCCAGGGAGGGCGTGGCGGGACCCCCCATGGGGTGAGGGGACCCTGAGTGCTGGGTCAGGGGCTCGTGGACCTGGATTTGCCCTGACGGGTGGGGAAAGGGGCCCCAATCCGGAGCAATGCACTGCGGGGGAGCCCGGCCACGCGTGCCAGGATGCTGCAGTCTACGTCCCGGGGGAGCCTGGCGAGGGGACCCCCCAATGCAGTGGGGTGCAGGGGCTGCACCAGCACAGTGGAGGGGGGCACCACCGCTGCTGAGCCAAGCGGTGGAGCGAGGTCCGGTCGGGGTCTGGTGCTGCCGTGACAGCTCGGTGCAGAGCCAGCGCCTCGCAGCGCTGGCTCGTAATTAATTGGCAGGAGCAGTGGGTCAGCACGGCGGCGAGGATTACCGCGGCCGGGATTTCCATCGGGCATGGATTAGGAGCCAGCGGAGCCTCTCCTGAGTGGATCTGAGGGGATTGCCACTCCTAATCAATGTAAATGAGGCTCCCCCAGGGCCACCCTTTACAGCATTAACAAACTAACGGGATTAGCCAAAGCGGGGTGAGAAATCCTCTCTCTGAGCTGCGGCGCGTGGCAGGGCTGGGGCCATGGTGGGCAGCTGCGGTGGGTCGGCTGCAGGCTGCTGGAGCTGGGGAGCGCCGGGGCCCCATGCCCCTCCTGCACACCCAGAGCTGCACAGTGAGGACCAGGGGCTGCGTCCCGCAGGGTCCCCGGTGCCTTTGGGACCGTGGTGTCCATCAGCCCTGTGGCTGGGTCAGTCTGTCTGTCCCCTCCTTGAGTCTGCTGGCACGTTCCCGGCAGGACCCAGCAGCGCCGTCTCGTGCACCTGTGCTATCACAGGCGTCCCACCCATGCATGTGGCTTGGCACCCGTAGCATCCATCCCCAGCAGCGTCCCTCCCACCCCAGGCCAGCCCGCACCCCCCGAGATGGTGATGCCGCGCTGCGGGTCCATGGGGCTGAGGTTGCGCAGGGGTCCCGGTGTGTTGTGGGGCTCCAGATAGAGGTCACGCAGGGGGATACCACTGCCCCCCGGGATCCATGCTCTGGGACCTGCCCGTTCTCCAGCCTCCAGGTCCCTTTTGAGGAGGGGCCCGTGTTTGGGAAGGCGCAGGGGGTGTCCCTGAGCCCCCCATCCCCCCTTTCCCTTGCAGCCTGCGGCGGGAGGGCTACACGGTGCAGGTGAACGTCAATGACTACCTGGACATCTACTGCCCGCACTACAACGCCTCGGTGCCCGAGCACCGGCTGGAGCAGTACGTGCTCTACATGGTGAACGCGGAGGGCTACCACACCTGCAACACCAGCCAGGGCTTCAAGCGCTGGGAGTGCAACCGGCCCCACGCGCCCCACAGCCCCATCAAGTTCTCGGAGAAGTTCCAGCGCTACAGTGCCTTCTCGCTGGGCTACGAGTTCCGCGCAGGGCAGGAGTACTACTACATCTGTACGTGGGGCGCCGGGGCGGGACCCCCCCATCCCTGGCTGGGTCCCCTGCATCCCACCCTGGCTGGTCCTCCTGCACCCCCCCAGCGGGGTGGCTGCA